CATCGATCTTTCCTTATTCAAGCGAACCACTTACACCTGCAGCCTATGTTTTAGTGACAAAATCATCCATGCAAAGTGAAGAGTGAGGTGGTATGTTGAAGACAGTGGGTTTGGGGCATGTCCTTGACCATGATTATTTTTGCTAACAAACCTCTCAGATCTCAAATATTGTCATTTGTCTCTTTTTGAATAAACTACTGTGAATTATTACCATGGTCGCCATTTCCTGTTACATGGCTGTTTCAACAGATGCAGAAGTGAGTGCCCTTTGGCACTTAGAAAGGCACAGACAGTAAAAGTCAATATGCCTTACTTAACAATGGGAATGGACTGGAGGTGTGGCTCAAGTGCTAGAGCTCCTCCCTAAACTAAGATGGCTATGACCTCTCTAAAGAATGCAGTGTTATGGGACTGCCATTTGTGTATGCAGCCCGTCCATTGATCTAAACATTGCTAGGTGATGCGTGAGTGTAATTCATTAAGACTTGGGCTGTTATGTCACCTTTAGGGAGGTGAGACTGAGGGACCAGGACTGTATGGGAATCACAGAGAAAGGTTTTGTGGAAATTGAATCAAAGCAAGGTGAATCCCTTACCAGGGCAGGTATCAGAGATGGAGGGAAACGGATGGATTCGGGACCTAAGAGTGGAGTGTACAGGACCTGGAGACCCTGGGAGTGAGTCACTGTTCATCCACGGTGTTACATCTGTCAAAACCAGGTTCTGGCATTTTACTGGCCCTTCTGCATGGTCTGTCAGAAGAGGCTGGAGCAGTGACCTCTGTCCACATGTCAGGGTCATGTTGAGCAATTGAGGGCTGTGCTGATGCTCAGATAGCACTCATGATGTAGGATGATGAAACGTCAGTTAACGTCATTTTGGTAGCATGTAAACTTAATTGTCATTTAAAATTTTGTGACAAGGGAGAAGTTTCTGGATGCAATGATACAATATCATCATTGACAAAGTAAACTAGTAAAACTCGTGTTCAGGTTATAAAAGCCTTGCTTAGGCTTGGTGCTAAGGAGAGGTACTGTAGGGGAGATCTTTAGATTTGTTTGTTTGTTTTGGCAGTGCTGGGGATCAGACTTAGGCCTCCCATATGCTAGGCAAAGACTCTACCAAGGAACCACACCCCTAGCCTGGCATTTTAATTATTAATGAGACAAGGTTTCTGTAATCTTTAAACAAAAACTAAAAGATCCTCCATAACAACCAGATAGACATTTCACATTTTCTTTTTCTTTTTTTTTTTTTTTTTGTTAAGAGAAGAGATTGCAGATTGTTGGATTTTGGCTAAGATTAAGTCAGATTATTTGCTTGTTGTCTCTGTTAGTATGTGGGAGCCCATTTGTTGAATTTATTATCATCCATGACAATGTACTTACCAATTCTTTGAACTCTAGTAAGATTATTTCCTCCCTGAAAATCTAAATGCCTTTTATCCATCCCCCTCCCCCACTAATTTGTGACTAGGACATTTTTCTTTAAGTGTCCAGGTCACTTATGTTAAAATACATTCACACTGCTGTGCAGCAACCCCCCAGGACTCCTCATTTTGCAAAACTGAAACTCCACTCAGTTAACAGCTCCCCATTTTCCTATTCGTGGCATGCTAGTTTTCTCTGTTTGCAGTATTTAGTATGGTCTAAACTGTTGGTTTAGACTTTTCTCAGAATTTTTTTTTTTTTTTTTGAACTTAGAACATGAATGTTGATGCCCTGGCCACAAAATGGGGGAAGGGGGAGCACAATAGTAGCACTTACACTGTAGAGTGTCACCTTGGGGCATAACCATATGCCACCAAATGCTTGGTCTTTATTTATACTTAAATAATCGCTCCTTGTTGGGAGAACAAGAAGCATTAAGGTGAGAGAGTTCAATGCAGGGTCTGGGTTAAAGATATAAAACAAAGCAGATCATAGGACTGGTAGAGTGGCTCAAGCAGTAGAGTGCCTGCCTAGCAGGCATGAGGCCATGAGTTCGAACCCCAGTACTGCCAAGAAACAAACAAACAGATCATAGAGCGTAAAGGACTGTCACACGCTTCAAAGCAGGCAGCCTTGAAGGTGCTCATAAGTCTTACTTATAACTTATCTACTAAGGTGAAAAGGTTTTTGCTTTTGTTGTACTTGGGACCAAACCCAGGGCTTGAAGCAGGCTAGGCAAGCACAGTACGTCTGCTATACCCCTAGCCCTAAAAGGCAAAAAGTTTTAAACATGTTGAAATGCAAGTCACATTGAAAATTTTCTTCCAATTAGTGCATTGCACGATATCTAAATAGAAAAGTAAAATAAAAGCCTGGTTTGGTATCTTCTGGCAGGTTAGTTCTGCCTCAAAGCTGTTTTTTTCATGCAGACACTTTCAGCACCTTCAGCCGTCCCTCTGTCATAGCATGCCCAGGGAGGAAGAACCTTCGGCCGTTCTTTCCATAGGCCATTTGGAGCCACCCTCCACTGTGGCCATGGGAGAACACCTGGCAGAGTGGAGACAGAGCGGAGTTGTTTGGCAAACCAGATGGAAGAGCAGCAGAGGCCCAGGAGCCTGGGATGGTTTCAGTGTTGACTAGAAGATAATGTCTGCCTCGCTGGCTGTGAGCATTGTTATACTGCTCCAAAAAACTAGTTGACCTCCTGGATGAGAACAAAAGTCCTCGAGAAAAATTTAAATCGGCTACAATAACTGGGGATGAAGGACACAGAGCACATGTGTTACCCTTCAGAATTTTCCCATTAAACTGGGAAAAATCAAGGCATTCTTGCACAAAGTAGTGAAAGTCAGCTATTCACAATACTTGTGAGGAAGTTTTAATTTTGCAATGTGTGATAATAAGAGAATATGTTGGCTTCGTGGTAACTCATGAGGTTGATTCACACACAGTTGAGCAAGGCATTCGTCACCATCTTGTGAAACTTGAAGCTTAGTGTAGTTTTCATGACAGGGGTTATTGGCCATACTTAGCAACCACCATCTTTCTGTTTCTGTGGATTTATCTGCTCTGGGTATATGTTTGGCTTCTCTAAGTTGGTAAGTTTTCAAGACTCATCCGCATTGTAGTATGTATCAGAACTTCATTCCTTTTTGGCGTCTGAATAATACTCCATTGTATGGATATGCCACAGCTTACTTACTTATTGATTTGTTGATGGCGTTTGGGTTGTTTCTACCTTTTGGCTGCTGTGAGTAGTGTTGCTGTGCACTTGGGTGTACAAGTATTTGTCTACTTCAGTTCCTTTTGGTATAAGCCTATGAATGCAGTTGCTATGGTGATATCATTTATATTTTAATCTTTTTTTGGTTCAAATTATTTCCAAAATATAGACTTTATTACATTTGAAAAGTTGTACTGAACACATAATACTTTGCTTGATGTTCCTGGCAGTTACTACGAATATAAATTACTACAAATTGTTGCACTATGGTACAGATGTTGTCAGGATGTTTGGTCTTTCTGTCTAGGTTTACTTGGTTTTTGTTTTTGTTTGGTTTTCTCTCTAGAATCATTACACGTTAATGAATGTGTTAAGAGCAGGCTCTGGAATTAGGTTGCCTAGGTTCAGATCTTATCCATCCCACTTCTTGGTTCTGAATGTTTTCAAAATTTTCTCCCCTTGCCTTAGTTTCCTCATCTGAAAAAATTAATGCAGTAGTACTGCAAACCCTGCAGGTTTAGTATTTAAAGGATTAGGCCCCATGTATGGTCTGCTAGGGCTGCCATAACAAAATCCCACAACCTGGCTGGATTAAACAACAAAGATCCATCTTCTCATAGGTCTGGGCTGGGGGTTCAAGGTCAAGGTTTCAGCAGGTTGGGATTCCCAAGTTCACTCTCCTTGGCTGCCTTTCCTGCTTCGTTCTTCCATGGCCTCCCTCCCTGTATGTAGTTGATGTGTCTTTGTTTACCCAAATTTCCTCTTATAAGGACCCAGATTGGAGTAGGAGCCCTGCAACAGGCTAATTTTAGTTTAGTCACCTCTATGGGGGCCCTATCTTCAAACACACTGCCATTCTTAGGCACTGGGTGTTAGGGCTTCATCTTGCAACATGCCATAAAGCCATTGGCACAGCCGTGTGCTTGTGTGAGTGGTGGTGGTGCAGGGCGTTGCTTCTGCGTGCTTGATTTACTTCCTCCGATGCCTTTGAGCCTGGAAACCAGGCAGCCCCACCATCTTAGCATTTCTTGCAGAGGTGCAAGTGAATAGATGTCCCCGTGGAGGGGCAAGGCACAAAGCTTTGGTAACTCTATAGCTTCTGGTTTCTGCTCTCGAATTTTCACTTATTTTCTGGACTGCATTTTTTTTTTCCCTGAAAGGTAAGATTGTGTGCAGAAGGTGTATGGTACTTTATGGAGGAAGATACAGAATTTTCTCAATGGTTTTCTCACCTTTTATGTGTCATACAAAGACACGTACCATAAAATTTGCCATTTTGACTCTTTACGTGTACAATTCAGGGATGTTAAGTAGGGTCTCACTGTGGTGTTTCTATTCCACCTCCCACATGTCATTCACCCAGACAAAAACTGTGCTGGTTAAGCAGGAAATCTCCTTTCCCCCTCCCCAGTCCCTTCTTTTCCTTTTTTTTTTTTTTTTTTTTTCTTGTTACCTTTCGACCCTGACGTTTCATAATAGGCACCGGTGAGGGAGGAAACTGGATCCAACAGCCTTTGTGCCAAGGAGGAGACTAGGATTAGGTGTCACCTGGGAACTGGGATTTAGGTCTGGGCTCCATACCATCCTCCTCCGGTTTTACCTTTCCTTGAAATCCCTCTTTGAAACAGCTGCGTTCATTGGTCCAGAGAGTGGAGACTTCGCCCAGCAGGTAGAGAGACAACACCGGCTGTGGGCCCAGCTGTCCCCTCCTGATAGCGCACGGCCAGTCCGCGGTGTTGACCGTCCCCGGTTACGCGGTGCGCGCGCGCGTGCGAGGAGGACCGCATCGCTGGCCTGCCGCTGCCGTGCTCGCGGTAACGCAGCCCTGTCCCCTCCGTGTGCTTGTAGACTTACATCGGCTCCATCATCGCCTCGGTGAACCCCTACCAGCCCATCGCCGGCCTGTACGATCGCGGCACCATGGAGCAGTATAGCACGCATCACCTGGGCGAGCTGCCTCCGCACATCTTTGCCATTGCCAACGAGTGCTACCGCTGCTTGTGGAAGCGTCACGACAACCAATGCGTCCTCATCAGGTATGGTGGGTGCGGGCGATGCGGTGCGGGGCGCTGGGGAAAGGCGGGGAGGTGGGCAGGAGGGATCGGCACCGCACAGCTCCGCTGGCCTGCAGCCCAGGAATCAATCACCCCCAGCTCAAAACCTGCGAAGGAGGGGAAGACAGCCTTATGGCTACCTGCTTCGCAGGTGGAAGCTCCCTGTTGAATAGCTTGGTAACTAAGCGTTCAGAAAATGTGGCATGCTCTTGGAGAAGCAGAGGGATCCTGTCGACTGGTTCTTGGCTTAGAATAACCACTCCATTCTCATTCATTCATTCTCGTTTTCTTTCCCTCCACCCCCCACCCCCACTTGCTATGATTATTCTTTGGTTTATTTGTCCTGCCTGTTTAAGGAAATGGTGCCTGGTTCTTTCAAATTTAAAATATTTCATGGACTCTAGTGTGCGGGTCAAAATGCTTGTATATTTGAACAAGGTTTCCTTTTTTCTCAAGCATGATAAAATTATTGCAGATAAAAATCTTCCAAATTTAATAATTAATAATGTAATACAGTAATACTTTAATTTTAATAATGGGATGCTCCTGTAGTTGACCTCTGAATTAGCTGCAGAGAAAGGGTTTACTATGTATACGTCAAGAACATGTATATTCAAGGACAGGTGTATTTCAATTTTTTTTTTTTGTGCAGAGGGACTTGGCATATCTGTGTTAGCCAAGCTGAGCTTATTTTTGAAAAATAAAGTCCTAGGAGCCCCACCATCAAAACCTTTGTAGTAGGCACTGCCTAAAAAAGTAGTGGAATATATATATTTTTAATATTCCTTAATTTTTTTGTTAACTAGTTCAAATTGACCTCATCGCATATGTCCCAGAGGCATCCTGTCGAATCTTCTACCAGTCGTTCTTATTGGAATCGTGGGTGGTACCCAAAGTGGAGGTGGTGAACATCTCTTGTACCGGGTTTCTGTGCAGTCTCCAAGCACCTTCTTCATTTGTGCTTCCAGGCATTCATTCATGGAATACGGCTGTTACAGAGGAGCAGCAGGGTACTTAAACAGCTACTGTGGAAGATTTTGACTCCTGTTTTAAATGGCTTTCTAGTCCCAGCTTGTGGCTAAATAGTTACTATATTATTTCAAGAGGGACAGGGGAAAAAAAAGGGTGTCTGGATTTGGGGGAGGACAATGAAAAGACCCCCACTCCCCAATTTCCAGTTGAATGGAGGTAAGGCACAGGAGACAGATGGAAAACCATATGTCACCTTTAGACTTCGAGCCAGTCAGGCTTGCCCAGATTGTACTCACCTGCTCATGGGTACAGCCAGGTAACTGGTGGCCGCCATCACTGGGAAACTCCCAGATGGTGAAGAGCAGAGCAGAGCACAGAGCTGAGCTGAGCGTGCTCATGCAGCCTTTCTTCTAGCTCTCCATCAGGGAAGCCATTCATGTTCATGTGGGGAGGGCACATGTGCCAGAGGAGCCCCCTGTGAGACCCCAGGCAAAGGAAACTGGACAGTCTGCCTAGTGAAGACGTGTGAGATGTGCTCACACTGCCCCTGTGGTATCTGAATGAGAGTGGGTGAGAAAGGATAGCTTAAGGTTTTTTCCAGGATTGTGGTGTGTCAGACACCATACCAAGAGCTTCCAGACATCCAGGCATTGAACCCTGTTGCAGCCTTTGATGTAGGCTGCTCTGATGATGTCTACAGTGCCACACAGAAAATGACTTCCAGGGACAGTGTTCTTACTGGCAGTTGTTACCCGTTGTCCTTGTTGGTGGTTCTCTATTTTAACAGATGGGAATTACATGTATATGACTGAACTCATTCTGTCTGTTTGTGTCTTCCCCACCCTGCTCTCTAGAAGCATATGGACAGATGTACTCTATTCTCTGTCACTTTAGCAGCACCCAAATGCTAGGCTGTGGCAACAACTTGGGTAGAGGAACTGTCAGTGTATTCAGTAAAGCAAATAGGGATCACACTGCTTTCAGTTAATTAAAGTGATGCTTCTTGCTTAATACATAAACAGAGCATTTAAGAATCATGCTTAATAAAATAATTCATAACTAAGAGAGACATTGCTTATATTGCTTTTTTTCCCCCTCTCTTCTTCTGAAATAGGGTGTTGCTTTGTAGCCCAGGCCCTTGAACTCGTGATCCTCCTGTCTGAGCCCATACTTGTGAATTTTTTTTTTTGAAGTTAGAATTTAAGATCATTTTTTCATCATACAGAATATAATTTCAGGAGATCAGCAGAAAGACAGAGAACTTAACCTATTTTAAGAATACAAACTTAATGTCCACCTTAGGTCCCTAAATATTTGCTACTGGTTTGTGTTTATTACTTTCAATGGAAAAAATGAGAGCAGGAATAACACATCACTTGCTAGACAGCAGTTTAGGAAGAAAGTGAAAGAAATCAAACACGGTTATTGTGCGTGTGCGTGTGTGTGTGTGAATGTGTGGCAAAATGGAAAAGAAGTGGCATTTAATGCTCAAGACTAGTATTTAAAAATAAGGGGACTGGAGGGTCGGTTCCCCAAAAGAAAGCTCCCATTATGTAATGCTGTGATGTTGAAAGAGTAACTGTATTTATCTAAATTAGCTTAGGAAATAGAGACGTTTAGAATAGATTTCTCTCTAAAATATGTCTTGGTTTTAATAGATATTTCCAACAGTTTTTTAGTGGGGGAGTGGGGCTGTGGGAATTAAGAGAAAAATGAGTTGAAAAGTAAATACTGCTGGGTACTGTAGCCCTGCTTAGCATTCCTTAAGCATGGTCCATGTGCCCCCTGCTGGACACAACATATCTCCACTACTTCCGGCACTGCTTTCCTGCTAGTGTCTTTAAAATTGGAAAATATTCAATCCCCAGCCCCCAAAATAAATCAGAAGATAAACCTGTTTGGAACTAGACAGGATTTTATGGTTTACTTTTTCTGTCACTTGGTTAAGGTCCCTAGCTATGTGGTGGCAGTGCCAAGCCTCTAGGCTTCCAGTCCTCGCCTTTCTTTGATCTAATTTTCAAGATGGTTGCCTGACAAATTTTGGTTTTATTTTTTTCTTTTTGTGCACATTTAAGTGGAAGCTTATGCTATTCCAGTTTTAAATATAAATATAAATTCAAAATTCTTGAGAATTTTTGTTCCAAGGTCAGCATTTGACCTTGGTTGATCTAGTACATTTAACCTTGACTTTAGTTTTTCAGACATTGTGTAGGGCAGGCAGTTTTCTTTGTTGTGGTCTTTTGGTGCAGATGATATTTTAAGATCTATAAAGTGGTGTCAAGAGACAATTACATCAAATGCACTTATAGGTCTAATTGGTTTTCATTCGAGATTTATGAATTGAGGCAGTCTCAGTAGCCTGAGAATGAGGGCTCCCACAGGGAAATAGCAGAACAGAGGGTTTGTAAGGTGGGAATAAGGAAATCCAACAGTAGAAATGTAACAGATTGGTTAACATTTTTTTTTTTGGTAAGGGTTGAAGCAGAGGGTACTTCCTTATTGTACTAACTCAGATAGACTGGAATCTCCTCTATTTCCAGAAAAACTTGTCCATTTTTGCATCTATCTGCTCCCATAAAGCTTCAGTTTGATTATGTAGCACTTAGCAGAGAGATGCCATTTTGATTTGGTCTGGTCCTTGGTCTGGTGCAGAACTCAACCCAAAACAAAGGCCTACCATAATTTTTGTCTCACAATGGGCAAGGCCCGAGGCTAATTTGTCTTTGCAACTCTGCACCCAGGACAGTATCTGGTAGAAAGCCAGCATTCAGCAGCTATCAGTCAAAAGATGAATACTTGGGAGTGACTGTTGGTTCAGAATCTTTGCTTGCTTGTGTGTTTTGGTTTTTCAAAACTGGAGCAATTTATTCTTCTTCCTTTACATACTAGAGTAATAATTGAATGTTTGTTTTTTTTCTGTTTCTGGAAGTATATCTAGAAATGATAGCTTTGGTACAGAACTGTGTCCTGGATTTGAATAGGTCATGGGCATGGTTCCTAGTTGAATAACACAGCAGCAGAAGATGGGGTGGAAGAGGCAAGGAAAGGGAACTGAAATCCACTGAGAAGATTCATTTGTGTGTAATCTTCAGGGAAGCCTCAAACACATTTTCTTTTTATTTTTTTATTTTTGAAATTTCTTTGATTGATTTATTTGACCATGCTTGGTCAGAACCACATGCAATAATTCTGGGAATTAGGTAGGCTTGCTATACTTAAGTCAACCCTGGTTTCTTTCTTTTTTTTTTTAATTTTTATTTTTTTATTATTCATTTGTGCATACAATGCTTGGGTCATTTCTCCCCCCTGCCCCCACCCCCTCCCTTACCACCACTCCGCCCCCTCCCTCTCCCCCACCCCCTCGATACCCAGCAGAAACTATTTTGCCCTTACCTCTAATTTTGTTGAAGAGAGAGTATAAGCAATAATAGAAAGGAACAAGGGTTTCTGCTAGTTGAGATAAGGATAGCTATACAGGGCATTGACTCACATTAATTTCCTGTGCGTGTGTGTTACCTTCTAGGTTAATTCTTCTTGATGTAACCTTTTCTCTTGTTCCTGGTCCCTTTCTCCTATTGGCCTCAGATGCTTTTAAGGATTCTGCTTTAGTTTCTCTGCGTCAAACACATTTTCTATTGGAAAACTGAGACTCAGAACTGGTGAGTGACTTGCTAAAGAGACTTGAGCTTTTAACAACAAACTTGGGATTGGAACTTCAGTTTTTCTGCCATCTCGAATCCTACTTCCTGTACAGGGTCATATATTTCAGGCTTTGTTTAGATTGCTAAGATCATTGGGCTTAGTCCTTAAGATAGTAGAGAAGTTTCCAAAGTGTTTTAGCAAGCTAGGAAGTGATTTTATGTTTTGGGATAATCCTGTGACTCAAGGGAATTTGATTCACAGGGTGGAGAATGTTTGCTCATCAAATGCCAACAAAAGTATTGTATAAAGAGTCAAAGAGAATGTATTTTAGGTTTTGTGGGGGAGACTGTAACCAAACACAGTGGTTTTCAGTTTAATGAGTACAGTCAAAAAAAAAAAAAAAAAAAAAAGGCACAACCAAGAGTTAAAAGAGTAGAGAAAACTGGACATGGTGGTTCACATTTGTAATTCCAGCTACTCAGGAGGTGGAAATCTGGAGGATACAGGTTCAAGGCCAGCCCTAGCAAAAAGTTAGTGAGACTATGTACAATGAATAAGCCAGGCCTGGTAGCCCAAATTTGTCATCCCAGCTATGCAGGAAACGTAGGTAGGAAGATTGCAGTCTGAGGCTGGCCCCGAGCAAAATGTAAGACCCTATCTGAAAAATAATTAAAGCAAAAAAAAAAAAAACCTACGGTGAAACGGATGTTGGGAGGGTGGGGATTGAGGTGTGGCCCAGGTGGTAGAGTGTTTGCCTAGCAAGCATAAAGCCCTACGTTCATGTTCTGATACACCAAAGAGAGTGTGGAAGTTATTTCCAAAGAAACACCTCCCTGATCAAAGGAGCATGGGATTGTATTTCAGGGAGCCTATACATATTCATATAGGAAAACACTTTAGGAGTGGTGTGTTCCTAGGCATGCTCAGTTTAAGGTCATAGTTCAGGAAGGAAAGATGGCAGACATGTTTCTGGGCTTAGGTAAAGGTCATGGAGCATATTCTCAAAAAGATTAAAATGGTAGAAATGGTAGACAGGAATACTCCTAGTCATGCCCAGTTTTCCCCCCTCTACCCCTAAAAAAGTTTTAGCTGAAACAAAGGAAAAGAACATTAATATTGGATTAATATAGGAGATTACTCCTAAAGGTGCCTACCTCCTTAGGGGATAACGGGGAGTTCTGTTGGAACTCCTCAACTCTGAGCTTGGAGTGCAAAAGCACTCACAATATGTAACAGATATGGTAGACTGTGTTTCAATAAAACTTTATTTGTAAATACAGGCTTCCTTTTCCTTTTCATAGTTGCAGAGTTTGCTTAACAACCAGAAAAGCATTTGGTTCATGTGGATGGAAATGTTATTGCTGAAACCTGTGTTCCTATTTGCACCAAGGCACAGGACGGTAATTGCCATAAGTAAAGGAGAACAAAGTAGAACTGTGAACAGGAAGGAGGAAGGGGGTAAAGGTTAGATAAAAGTCTCTTCTTTCCTCGATGTTAATGTCTGGGGACATCTGTAGTAGTTCTTGAGTTTTAGTAATTTGTGAGTTCTTCAATTATTTTTACTCTTTTGTCTAATTTATGTAACACTTTCACATCCCAATGTAGGAGTAATCACTGTTTGCCTCCTGTAATAGTCAGCTTTTCAGTGCTATAAGAAAAAACTTGAGGTAGCCAGCTTATAAAGAGAGAACATTTATTTTGGCTCACAGTTTTAGAGGTTCCAGTCCATGATTAATTGGCCTGTTGCTTTGGGCTTGTGGTGAGACAGCACATCATGGTGGGAGCACATGGTGGAGCAAAACCATTCCCCTAATGAACAGGAAGCAAGAGAGAGAGGAAGAACCAGAGTGAGGCCCACAGTTCCTTTTGGAGGCATACCCTCAATGGCGTAAAGGACCTCGCAAAAGTCCCCACCTCCCACAGGCACACTCTGAGGACTAAGCCTTGAATACATGGACCTTTGGGGGACATTCAAGGTCTAGATATCTGAAGAATGTGAAACTGCTCTTAAGAGCAACACTTCGTCAACCTGGCTTCATAGTTCTGATAACTGTGCTCCTCCCTATAGGTTTGGATGGGGGATATCAGATGATATTAATGTGCAGTCAAGTTTGAGAACCACTGTACAAATCTGAATTTTATTTTTAGTTCAGATTGTACTACTGTATTCTAAAAAATGTGCTTAAACATGCTTGAAGATATGATACAAGAAAAAGTATTGAGACTGTCAAGATTGATATCTGTGACTGTCAGTCCATCAATTTCCAGCCATATTTGTTCTAACTGTATTATTCATGTTCTCTTTAAGTACCTTCTTTTTTTTTTTTTTTTGAGCTACTGAGGTTTGAACTCAGGGACTTGTGCTTGCTAGACAAGCACTCTATCTCTTAAGCCACACCCCCAGCCCTACAAGTGCATCTCAGCAACAATGAAATCTAATGAGAATGAGAGTTAGGAGTTTTCTTTCCTGTAGAGTCTGAGCAGTGGCCTTTCCATGATTGTATTTTTGCCATGTTATGCTATGCAAGGTAGGCTGATGCTGTAACACACAGGCCCCAATCTCAGGCTTAACCTGGGAATGATTTGTCACTCACGTCACAGCCCTCTGTGGGGAGGTGAGGGGCTTTACTCACGCTTGGTGCTTCCTTGTCTTCGAGATGTTCCAGCCCATGGGCACCCAGAGAGAGGGCCAAGAGAAGGGGGCTTGTAGGCACAGGTGTAGGAATGGCATACATCCCTCTTGCTCAGTTCTTCAACTGCTCTTTCTTATTCCTTTGTTCACATTCAGTCCCCTTGTGACTGCCTGCCTGCCTACACTTACTGAAAGGGAGCCTGAAATGCCCTCTACTTCTGTGTGCCAAAGGAGAAAGAGACAGTTTGGGGGAACACAAAACATATTTCTTTCTCACCATTTTAACTAGAGAACTTACCCCTTTGGTTTTCCTTTCTGTTTTTAACAATTCTCTCATTAACAACTACTATGTAGATACATTTTTGGAAATGTGGAGAGCTACTTAGATATTTCTCAGAACTTTCTCTCCTCTTTTCAGTGTCTCTTATTGTGGGCGTCATTGTCCAGTGTCTCCTGTGTGCCAAGCTCAGAGCTGTGCTGGTACCAGGTATGTGAAGAGGAATGCTAAGTCCTGTGCTAGGAAGATTCTGGTTGCTGATAAATGAAACCACAGCCAAAGCTGGCCTAACTTATGCAGGTCTTTAATATCTCATGTAACATGAGGCAGGGCAGTTTCTAGGATGTGGATTCGGCCACTCCTGCTGGGCTTGTCTCAATTTTCTTGGCTTTTGCTTCATGATCTCAAGATAAGTGTAGATTCTCAGATGTTTTCTATCTGCCAGAAAGGCATATTTCGGTGTCTCTGGGGTGTGTTTGTGTGTGTGTGTTTGTGAAGGCTTTGCCAGGAACCAAGCCCCCTGGAGGTGATGGCTCTTTGGTTGGAATTATGACACCTTACCAGGCCCAGCCCTAATATTTGAGAAGGGCATGGAATGACTGGTGGGCCCGGATAAGTGAAGATTCCCTGAGGGCCCCTGATGCCCAGCCTGGCTCCAGGAGTGTCATCTCTGAGTCATTTCCTCTCTGTTAGTGCATGTGCTTAATCATTCACCATGTTTTCAGCAACATTCCTGTCCTGATAATGCCCCAGATCTTGCTCTCCAAAAGGACTTTCTTTAGCTCTCAATGAGTCTCCTGCTAATTCCACCACCAAGCAATTATTAACTGGCCACTTCAGGTGTTTGTCCTGCTGTGCAGTTTTTAACCTTTTGTATAAGTTCCATCCATCCTTTCTGCTGCTTCTGTTCTCCCTGCAGTTCTGAGCATGGTGCCTTAACCAAAAGTGACTGGCCTCCCTCCAAATTTCTTTCATCTCCATATTTTTCTCTGCACCTCCAGTCCCATTAAAGGTACCCAGGACCTGATCACCACACGCTACATAAGAAATAAGTTCCCTGAGGGAGATTCTGTACCTCCACGGCTGACTTCTTTAAGGTGACTTTGATGGGTCTCTTTTCTCTTCCAGCACCTGCCCTTGGCTCTGCCCCCCTCAACTCAAGCTTAGCCCCTCTTTCGATGCTTCCTCTGATTTAGTCTGGTTGGCTTCGCCAGTCACGGATCTCACTCTGAAGTGCACATCTGCCCAGGCTTCACTGGTTTCTGTGTTTCACTCTGTTGTTATCTTACGGTATAACTCAGACCTTCTTTCTTTCTCTCATTGGTCCAATCTTTCTGAATTATTCTGCTTACCTTCCCTTAACTGTGACTAACATATGATGTCTGTGGGACTTTGGAGTCAAACACACCTGGTGTTCAGTTCTGACTGAGGCGCTTAGCCATTGCCTCCCTTGCAGGATTATCAGGGTTTTGTATGGGCGTGTACCTGTGAGCTCATCCCCCTCTCCTCCATAATACTGATGAATGGTTTTATTTCAATGCACATTTACCTGTGTTAGGTTTCCCAGTCAGGTATGTTAATATCCTTATTCATTTCACAAATACTCACCAAGCACCTGCTACCAGCGAGGTGTAGTTGAAGTGTTTGGGATGTGCTTGCTTGTGAACAAGAGGACAGTCCTGACTCCTAGAGAGCTCCCTCCCATGAAAGGCACCATCCAGCTTAGGATTTTCACGTAATAAAAGGCAGTGCTGTTTACCACATGTGCAGAAAGAGGCAAGATCAGAAACGGGTCAGCGTCTACAAGAAAGCACTTCTGCCATCCTTCCACTCAGCTCTTTTGCAGCAAGTATTTTGATGTCCCTTTTCCCACTTGTCCACAGTTGTTCTGCTGAAAAATTGTAGCGCCATTGACCAAGCTGGTTGTACAAACAATATTCATACTTAGAAGCACAAACTTATACATTTTGTCTTTCAGTGGTGAAAGTGGTGCAGGTAAAACTGAAAGCACTAAATTGATCCTCAAGTTTCTCTCGGCCATCAGCCAACAGTCTTTGGACTTGTCCTTGAAGGAGGAGACATCCTGCGTTGAACAAGCTATTCTTGAAAGCAGGTATTTTGTTCATTAATTTCCTTGTTCCTAGCCAATGGGATTCACTTTCCATGTGGTGTGGAATTGTTAAAATTAGTTGGTCCGGTTTCTCTTTTTCTTGACTTCTCTTTTATAATCCCTTAAGAAATGGACTCGATACATGTCTAATGCTTTCCAACATCCTCAGCAACAACTGTTTCCAGGTGAAGATGTTCCTGACCCTTCCCCATTGGGCCAGGTTGAGATGGTGACTGACCAGTTTCTGAGGAGGAGCTGGCTGCAGCCTCCTTCCCTGGGGCTCTGACTCTAGCCGCCCATGTTTCTGAAGGATTGGGTCAGATGGGGCACAGTTGGGAGTTGTGAAGAGAACAAAGATGGCCTCTTTAGAAGCCATGTTATTAGCAGAAACTCCACTCCCCATTCAGAGGAACAAGGAAGACTCTGTCCAGTGGTCATCTGTGAGAGGCTGGGTAGGGCAGAGCAGCATGTCACCTGAATTGTCATATAAGATGTGTGATTGCCTGGTGTCTGATTTGTGTCTTGTAAGACATCACAGATCCTGTTATTGAGAGAGCTGTCCAGGGGTTGGCAAGCTGCTGCCTGAGACCCAGACTCTACAGCCTGCTTTTATTATTTTTTTTTAACTAAGCATTCAAACACTTAATTTTTAAAATTGCAGCTAATATACAGAACTTAAAATTTTAATTATTTTTCAGCATACTCCTCGGTAGCAGTAAGTACATTCATAGGACTGTGCAACAGTTACCATATCTGCCTCTAGAACTTCTTCATCTCCCTCCTGCAGCCTTTTTTTTTGTAAATAGTTTTGTTGGAGCCCAGCCACACTCATTTGTATTATTTCTTGCTGCTTTTGAGCTACAGTGGCAGAGCAGAGTAGTTGTAACAGGGACCCCATGGTCTGCAGAGCCTAAAACATTTACTGTCTGCTCCTTTGTAGAAAACATTTGCCAACCTCTGCTCTAGTCTGACTGCACATTAGAGTTAGAAAAGACTCAAAGATGCTAAACGAATTGCTACCAGAACGTGCAACAAATGGGTGACATTCTTAGGACTGGGTCCTTTCAGCTTCCAGAATTTGAGTGTAGACTTTTCTGTGCAGTCCTTGGTTTATATGTATCAGTCAAAGCTAACTTGTACCCGGCTGAGCCACTGGGACTCCGTAACTGTGTGGTACCCTCAGCCAGCACAGCTAGCTGTGTATTCCTTACCCACCTTCAAGGTGGATATTCAGGGTAAACCCTTTTCAGTGTTTGGGAAATCTGGCTCTTCTTTAAGTCAACATAGTCACCATAGGGCCTTTTGGTTGTAGATTTTTCTTGCATTTGCATATTTTGGCATTTGTTTTTAGATCTGCCCTAAGTAATACTCTCTCTGCTCTCGCTTCTTCCACAGCCCCATCATGGAGGCTTTTGGCAACGCAAAGACAGTGCACAACAACAATTCCAGTCGTTTTGGGAAGTTCGTTCAGCTGAACATCTGCTGGAAGGGAAATATTCAGGGAGGAAGAATTGTGGATTGTACCCTGCTTCGTTTAGGTTTTGTCTATAGCATGTGACTATGTGGGAGCTAGTCTCATCATAAGTACACACCAAAGGAACATGAAAACGCTTCTTACTCCAGTTCAGCCTCACTTACATGTAGTAAAGCAATACTTGACTTATTAATTATTCTATGAGATAACCATTTTTCTTTTGGAAATCTCTGATATCATATCTATAATCTGAAGATTTAGATTCATCATTTTATTTGTCTGTTTTTTTTTTTTTTTTCTGTAACAGAATGCCTGACTCTGGGTAATTTATAAAGAAAAGAGGAAATCAGAGTGGTGGTACACACCAGTAATTCTAGCACTCTGGATGCTAAGGCAAGAGGATAGTGAGTTCAAGGCCCATCCTGGGTTACATGACAAGATCATGTCTCAAACAAACAAAAATGTTCTTAAAGAAAAAAAAAAAGGTTTATTTTAGCTCCCAGTTTTGAAGGCTGAAGTCCAAGATCAGGCAGACTCATTGTTCTGCCTGTAGTGTGGGTCTTCTGGCTCCGTCAGAGCATGGTGGGCAGTATCTTAGAGAGAGTACATGAGCGAGAGAACACGTGGCATGACAGGAAGTGAGAGAGAGAAGCAAGACCGTTTCTACTCATGCATGAGAGAATTGATGTGCCCACAAAATCAGTCTTAATCCCTTCTGAAGACAGACCCCCCATGACCTAACCACCTCCCACTGGGCCCCACCTCTCAAGGGTTCCACTACCACACTGGGGAGCAAGGAGGGCTTAGCAGCATGAACCGTTAGGGGATATACTAAACCATATCAAAGCCATGGTTGTCATCAAACATCAGATATTTGCTTGCAGTCAGTTCTGTCACACAAAGTTTGGGCCACATGTCATGTTTAGAGTTGGTGATGTGGTCTTTGGTGTGTTTGCTTGTCTTTGGCACTGGAGGTGTCGATGTCAGAGGAGCAGGAAGCTATAATTTTGGGGGTGATAAGAAAATGAAGGTTAATTCAGCTCGTCATAGCTTTGTTTTGATCCTTGACTTGCCATTGCTTTTCACATGAAGATTTATTAGAAAAAGTAAGTACACATGATTTATTTCACATTTTCCATAGTAGCTATTTTCAGAAATTATTGGTTTGTATAAATTAAGCAGGAAACATCTCTGATATGAATCTGGTCTCTCCCTTCAGAACCGAGTAGTAAGGCAAAATCCTGGGGAAAGAAATTTTCACATATTCTATGCGCTGCTGGCAGGGCTGGAACCTGGGGAGAGAGGTGAGTGAGTGTCAAACACCAGAGACAGATAAGCAACTCATTTTCCACTTAAAACATTTCCATAAGTGGTAAGGCATCTCTTTTGATGCCTTAATGTATATTAATGTATATTTGATCACTTAATGTATATTAGGAGAGTACAAAAGGTGCTAAATTCATTTTAAGGCCAAGTAACAGAGAGAGAAAATTATCTAGAGAAATCTCAAAGTTTTTTTTTTAAAGAGTCTTGGTATATTTTTTTATTTGAAGGATATTTGTGAAAGTACATGTATATTAAAGCTAGTTTTACTTTTAAACCACGCCAGAATAAAATTAACTTCTAAATGTTTGATTTTTAAGAGAAAGTGAAAAAGAACCATCATGAGTCTTATTTTCAGTAGCATTTTGTGCCATCCCAGTTAGTTTAATTAAACTTTTTTCTGTTTTCCTTAGATAACAATTACAAGGGAATTTTATTATCATAATAGGGGACTGTTAGTGACAGAGGATTGTGTGTGCAATTTAGTTTTTAAAAGCATGGAGTATGATTTCCAGCACTAAAATAAATAAATAAATAAATAAATAAAATCCTAGAGTGAACTCTTGAATTTTATCTTATCCTGGCCAGCTGAGTACTGATGCTATCTATCTATGCTTTCTTTGTCTTTGTGCAGAAGAACTTTATTTATCTGTGCCAGAAAACTACCATTACTTGAATCAATCTGGATGTATAGAAGACAAGACAATCAGTGACCAGGCATCCTTTAGGGAAGTTATTGTAAGTTACTTTATTATTTTCTTCTATTAAGAATATAGACTTCATTTTCTGTTTCAAAACATTAAACAAAAGCAGAAATAACTGCATTTGGACAGATGTGTGAGGATACGTATTTCCTTCTTTCTGAATTGTGATGAAGACTGCTTTCCAAACTGGAAAAGTAATTCAAGGAATTATCTTTCTTTAGAATGTAGAGGATGTCTGTATCAATCAGGACAGATGCATGGTGTTTACTTGGAACAGCGGGTTCAGAGTGTATATCCTCTGTCCTCCCAAAAACCCAAAACCAATTCCTAGGCTTTGCTATAAGCAAATCCATTGGCCACTGGACCAGGTGACCATTGGGTTGTCATCCAGTTCCAGTTCTTAATTGTGCTGAGCATTTCTGATTGCTTGAACAGTAGTCATCTTAAGGCTGTGTGTTGTGGTATGCCTCAGAGTTGGATCTCTTACCGTTCTCAGATGTCACACAGGCTTTGTTACAAGGTGGCTGCACTGACAAAGCCTGGGCACTGTTAGCACCTCACCTGAATGAGTATGGCTAGAGATCACATATTTGTGGGCTCAGTGCCTTTGCCAGAGTCCTTACAAGAATAGTGGGATACAATGCATCGAGCGTTGATTCATTACCTATGGGACTGTCATCATCATTAATGCAGCTGACATTTTGAAGATTTGGAGGCCCTCTGCATCCATGTTTCATAACCTCAGATCTAACTGACCAGAGAACAAAAATATTTTTAAAAAATATACTTAACATGTACACCTCATCATTATTCCCTAAATAATATAGTATAACAACTACTCATACACATTGTATTAGGTATTATAAGTACTCTGGAAGTGATTTAAAATATACAGGAGAGAGACAGAAGACTGTTGGAGTGGCTCAAATGGCAGAGGACCTGCCCAGAAAGCACGAGGCCCTGAGATCAAACCCCAGTACCACCAAAAAAATGCTAGTAATAATGAAGTGTACAGGAGGATGTGCATAGGTTATATGCAAATGCTGTGCCGTTTTACATGAGGTACTTGGACATTCTTGGATTCTAATATTTGTCGGGGTTCCTGGAACCAATGCTTTGTAGATACCAAGGGATGAGTATATTATGAACTTCATATAGACTTAGCTCTCTTCTCTTAATAGTTTCTCTATTCTAAGACTCAGAGAGGATTGTGACCAGCCTACCCTTATCCAGTACCTGGTAGAGCCAGTAGCCAAACAGTCTAATAGCAAATCCTAACTAAACCACCAGACAAGTCCTACCTGTTTTCAGTATACTTCAGATTTGTCTTTCTAGGTTGTTTTTTAAAGACCAACAACTCCCTGTTCCAACCCCCCAGTTATTCTCAAAGGAGTGTCTTGTGCAATAAAATCAAAAGTATTTTTAAGTGAGTATAAATCATACATCATTTCTCTAAGTTGAAAATGAAGTCCATACCATTCTGGGCTACCATATCCTGATGCTCTTCCCCAGGACTTCACACATGCTAGCCAAGTGCTCTACCACTAAACCTCTCCCCCCAGCCCTTCATCATCATCATCTCCCTCTCTCTTTTTTTTTTTTTTTGGTACTGGAGTTTGAACTCAGGGCCTTATATGTATGCTAGGCAGGTGCTCTCACTTGAGCCACTCTGTCTGCCCTTTTTTGTGATGGGTTTTTTCCGAGATAAGATCTCTCAAACTAGTTGCCTGTGCTGGCTTCGAACTGCAGTCCTCCTGATCTCTGCCTCCTGAGTATCTAGTATTACAGATGTGAGCCACAGTGCCTGGCAGAACGATTGTATTTTAAATGTCTTTCTCCATTTTATTTTGGTCTCCTACACTTTTTCTCTCTACTCAAATCTTCCTTCACAATCCATTTATTATTGTTTTTATTGAAAAAAAATCTGTGTTAGAACAAGTACTTATACCTATTTTTAATGAGAAGAGCAGAAAAAGTCTTGTCTAAGGAATTTTTTATATATTTGCTTCTTTCCTAAAGCTGAGAACAGTAATTTGTGATAAAAACGATGTTTCTTGTGGAGACAGACTTCTAGTTTTCCAAGTCTGTCTGGTCTTACTGCAGGCTCCACACACAGAGAGCTAACCTGCTACCAGAGTGCACTTGGTGTCAGGGATTCCTGGGATCTGGAAAGACCTTGAGAAACTCCTTTGATGGGCTTCCTCTGTCTTCCTCTTGGGGCATCATTTTCCTACCTAGAACTGTTTGCTCCTTTTGTTAGCTACAAGTGAACTTTGTGAGCTCTGCTTAGTTTCTGTGATTGCTAGCTTTCATTGTTCAATTGAATAGGATTTGGCATTTGAAATCTGGTCTTAAGACAAAATGATCTATCATCTAGAAAGGAAGGAACATTTATTGATGAGACTAACATAAGACACCCAACAAACTTAGTCTAGATATGTATTCTGTTTGTAGAATAAATTTGTAGGTCTTTAAGTATTTAATTAGCATTGGGCTCATCAGATCAAGACTTAGCTGATCTTAAGATCACAAATGTAACATTTTTGCTGTTTTTATTTAACCTTGTTCTAGAGCTTCTAAGCAATGCATTAAAAAAGAAATGAAACGAAATTAATGTTCTATTCTTAGGGGAAAAAAGGAAGAAAAATATTCCTTTCTGTAAATAACAAGATTCTCTCCTCTAAACCTGTGAGAATCAAGAATTGATTAAATAATCTTTTATAAGCACAAAATGAGATCCCTTGTAGCAAGTAAAACATATGTTTAAGTGTATTTAATAGTATGGAAAAGTTTACTTAGTACAAGGCAGAGGGGAAGGCTGCACTATATACATATTTATAATCATTTTTAAATAAGCATTTATGTTTCACATATTTATAGCATTTTTACATGCAGAAAAAAGAACAAAATATATACCAAAAATGTTATCTCATGTGGCAGAATTCTAGGATTTTATTCTGTATCATTCTTTGTATGTTCTATTTTTATAATGGGCATGCTAACTTTTTTTTTTTTTTTCCTTTTTTTTTTTTTTTTTTCCGGTGCTGGGGACCGAACTCAGGGCCTTACACTTGCCAGGCAAGCGCTCTTCCACTGAGCTAAATCTCCAACCCCCAGCATGCTAACTTTTTAATGGTTATATGATTGTATGGTTGTATTCCTAATGCAGCCTGGGTCTGCATATCTGTGGGTTCCATCCCATGGTTTCAACCAACTGTGGATCTAGTAATTAGGCCTATAATGGTTTTGTCTGCACTGATCATGTACAGAACTTTTTTCTTATCATTATTCCCTAAGTGATACTGAATAATAACTATGTACACAACATTGCATCGTATTAGATTTAAGTCATCTAGATATGATCTAAGGCAAGCAGAAGGAGATTAACAAATTATATGCAAATATTACACTACTGTATGTATGAGACTTGGGAATGGATTTTGGTATCCACGGGGCATCCTGAAACCAATCCCCCAAGGGATAGCTCTATGGTAATCTAATCATAAGTGTCATTATCAACATCAGCTGGCCCATCTTACTGCCTTGTGCAACACTACAGCAAGAGTGACACAGACATGGCTCACAAAGCGGGATTACCCTCTTGGAGCTGAAGGTGGTTTTTATACATTGCACACGTGTGAACACCTGCCACAAGCCACGTGCTGTTTTAAATGTCAGAGACACTGCAGTGAGCAAATCAGATGTAATCCCTGCATTCTGCTAGAGAAATGGAACAGGTCACGCTGCTGTGTTTTGGAATGCAATAAGTACACTTTAATTCCATGAAGCTCCTTTTCCCAGAGGTAGTGGAATTGAAGGGAAGGGACCATATTCTACTGGGGCTCAAGGATAATGTGTTTGCAGAATGCATTAAAATGTTAATGGGGAGAAGTTATTTCTGGGATTATGTATGAAAATGTCACTTCTGGTGTTCATTTGCAGCTCCTAAAAATACAAATCTTATGAATCTTAATGTCTTGTTATTCATGCAGTAGGGCTTTTATTTTTAAGAATTGTGCATATTTCACTGAGAAATGGTTTTATGTATTTTTTTTTAATTAACATTAATAGGAGCAAATGCTGGTGAGGTATTCTGCACAGTTTTAGGGGACTTGGTTTTTCTGGAACAGGCAATGAACGTATGTTCAATTTCATAACCATTTTACACAGTTTTCTAAATTACACCATAAATGTTTCGGTCAGGATAAAAAGCTATTTCAATGTCAGAAGTAACAACCAATTTCTTTTACTGCCTGCATTTGACCTACCAGGATGGTGGCTGATGAAATGTGAGGTAACTGGATTTTTTGATGAGTGATCATCTGTTAATTCTCTTGCTCAACAAATACTGAATATTTACAGTGTGCTTGGCCATGGACCACAGCTGGGATTTCCTGATCACATAGAGTTTACCGAGTATATCCATCGGTTTTGGATGGTGCATGGCCATGTTATGGGGGTGTAAATTCATTCAGCATGAGTCAGATTTTATTAAGATTTAAAGGCTCGACTTTGTGCTTCAGTTTTGCCAACCATGGAAACATCTGTCTCTTTCAGTCATAGAAAACATGTGAACTGTCAACCTGAAGAGCAAATACAGAGATGCTTCAAAGATAATGAGTTATTTGGAGGACTACTTCAGTGGGAATAGGTGTATTATACGCATATTTAAGCAGTTTGAGGCAAGGGGAAGTTTTAAAGGGCAAATGGGGATGATTGTAGAAGTGTTTTTGAAATAATAATCCTTGGCTCAAAGGATCAGTAGCAAGAGTGGCGTCCAGCCAAGGCTGGGCAGGCAGTTTTGCGATGAATGTCCTTAACGGGAATATTTTCTGTTTGCAGTTGTGGCCCAGGCACAAAGTTCTTGTTCTCAGGCATCCATGTGTGAGATTCCCTTCTTCATAACTTCTCAGCTTTGTTGAGTTAAGTTTGACACAAGTGACTCCATTTTTATTCTGACATCACAAACTATAAGCAAATTTTATATATAAAAAAAACTTACTTGAAAATACCACATCATAAAATATAACAGTATTTCATAATAGGCTGTTATTCAATTACTTATTCATAATTTACTTCACCCCAAACAGCCTCCCCTTCCAGCATTTCAGGCATATTGTTTGTTCAAGGTTCAGCTAGATTCTTATGCTTTCTGAAGGAGTGACTTGCCTCCCCTGCTTCTTGTGGGATGACCTTTGCTGCTTAAGAGTTGAGACTGTATCACATCTTGGTCACCCCCCCCACACACACACACACATTCACACATTCACAGCATTTTTTATGTGCTTAATAAACTTTTATTGGAAATAATTTGTGCAATTCCTCTTTACCACTTTTGTAACTAAGTTGCTGTTTAGCAATTCTGAGCCCTAGTGAGAATTTCCCAGGGTTTTTTTCAGTCTTGACCCATATTATGGAGATAATAAAATAATTATAATCAGCCTTAAAGTGGCTACTCTTGCCAAGAAGGGGGGGGGGTGCTGCTCAGTACAATGGTTGTAAATGGACAGCAAGAGACAGTAAACGGAGATTCTTGCTGGTAGTTTTGGCACACACCCACGCTGGTAGTAATTGGTTGCCAACATTAAATTACCCCATGTTTAATGAAATTAGCACTTATCACTGTACTCCTAATTAATCACTTAGAGTTAGACTTGAAAGCAGTCAAATTTATTAATATAGTAAGCATATTAATTTTGTCCCATTTCATCTCATATCTCCATATGCAGCCTTTGTATGTATCTTAAGAACTTAAACAAGACTTTTTAAAATCAGGAATGTGTTGATTTTTTCATTGATAGGACCTTTCTGCTACTGTATATTTTTTGAGGTTTTATTTTGTAAGTACTGGGGCTTGAACACAGGGTTTCATGTTCCCTGGGCAGGCGATCTACTGCTTGATCCATACCTCCAACCCTGTGTACTTATTTTTTAACAATCTTATTTCCTTTTAGTATTATGTAAGTCCAGGTAGGTGACTTAGCAAAGACTTTTATTTCTGTGATCATTGTAAGATTGGCTTAGAAAATCTTTAAAACTACTTTTGAGTATATTATGTTATATGTGAAGAAAGCTAATCAAAGAAAAACAACATAGGTACTTTATAACTATTTTATTAGTATCTGACTTGGTCTTTAACATTGTTTAAAAAGTCTTGAGAACAAGAAATTATTACTTATTTCTTTGCTTTAACCTTTAGCCTAAATCACTGATATATGTCAAATTTAGAATAATTATTTTCCTACAGGCTTTTTTAAATTGATAAGTGCTTGACAAAGTACTTCTTTGCAACAATTTGTTTGTACCTATGAAATGAGAATCAGCCCACCTTTGATTAAGTAATTCATGGTCTTTTAATTTATTTTAATGTTATTGAGCTATTATATACTTATAATAAAATATAATAAATGCTTCCACGTAAAAATACAGGTTTTGATAAATTTTGTATTTACACACCCATGTACACATAACCAGGATCAAGCTAAAGGATAGTTCTGTCCCCCAAATTTATTCTGTGCCCACTGCACACCTGCCTCTAGAAAACCAATGTCCTGATTTCAGTTACACTACAATACGTTTGTCTTCTGTGCAGTTCCATGTCAGAGAAGCATGGTATGCAGTCTCCTGTGTCTAGCTTCCTCCAGTCATCCACATCAAATGGAACTATTTGTTCCATTTCTGGTATTGGTTTTCCATTGAATAGACAATGGCTGTGTATCCACTTCCCCATTCAGAGTCTGATTTTGTTGTAAAAATATTGCCAGTATTGCCAACATGTCAAAAGACGTGAAAGAACATAAGATAGAATCTAATGTTCACAAGCCTATCAACTACTAATGAAGAGTTAGCCCTAAGAGAAACTATGCAACTGTTTTCAATTTTGTAAATGTCCTTTGCAGCCTGAATTTTAAAAATAATTATAGCTGTAAAAAATTAAATTTTAGGGGCTGGGGATATAGTTTGGTGGGAAAGTGCTTGCTTTGGGTTTAATCCCCCTCACTACACAAAAATTTTATTTTTACATTTTATATTAAGTTATAAATATAATTGTTTTTGTATAATGTTTATAATTTCCTGTAAAAACAATACTGTCTGCTTCCTGTTGTAAGTTTGTTTACTATTTCAGCTTGTCTAAATGTAGGATAATTAGAATTTTTTTCCTTCTGCAATTGTGGTTAAGGTCTTTACAATAATCTCTGTAGTGGGTATTTTGTGAAGGTTGTCTTGGGCTGGAGATATTGCTCAAGTGGTATAGTGCCTGCCTACCAAGTGTAAGGCCCTGAGTTCAAACACCAGTACTGTCAAAAAATAAACATAAAAATTAAATTTAGGATTGATGGAGTGGCTCAAGTGGTAGAGCACCTGCCAAGCAAGCACAGGGCACAAATTCAATCCTCCAGTACCACCACCTTAAAAAAAAAAAAAGTTCTCTTTTCTGCTGAAATTTTCTTTGAAACAAATTTCCAGCATTGGAATTTTTGTAGGGTTACTTAAGCTATATATATATTTTTTCTTTTTATGCCCTTAGAAAGTAATCAAAATGGGTAGATAATAAAGAGAAGTCTTTAGATTGAGCCTGACTTTGAATCTTGGTTGGTTGTGCAACCCAGGGAAAGTTATTTAACCTCTCTAAACCTTTTCTTTGTTTTATCCCCAGATACTAACATTGTAAGATTATGTACAAATGTGACCCAGTGCAGTCATGCCACATAATCCTGTTGTTCTCCAAAGAGATTTAACTAATTTATAGTACCAGGAACCAGTGTCTAAATGTCCCCATCTCACCAATCTTTACGTCTAGCTTTCAGAAACTTCTTGCTAGTCATAGAGATGATCACAGATTCACTTTAATTCACACGTTTGGTTTCTAGGAAGGGCAACAGTATTGTGGATTTGCATTTTCTCCTTTGAGCAATGCCTATTTTATTTTTTGTTGCTCAAGTATTTTTCAGGAGAACTTTAAATTCTGTTTCTTTTGCCATTGTTTTCTCTTTCTGTCTGGCTTTATTGCTTATTCCCTGTAAAGAAATTAAACTTTTCACAGTTGAGAACCAGTTGTTTCCTTTTGCAATTTCTATTGCTTCCAAATTGTGCATGGTTTCCTTCTTTCCTGTCTCCTGTGCTCATTGTATGCGTCCAAGTCCTATTTGTGCAGGGCATTTTCATCAGCAGTGCCAGCTGTTCTCTCCATGTATGTGTGTGAGAGAGAGAGAGAGAGAGAGAGAGTTTCTCTTTCTCTTTTTAAATAGCCTTTTCCTCTCAAGAGTGTGGCTCCTAAATGAATGAATCTTAGATGAGTCAGAAAACACCTGGTAAAAGTTGTTTAGGTACTTGTTGGTGGTAACAAAGTCCTGTAAGTGCTTGTTTATTTGTCCCCAAACAGAATTATGTTGACTTCCAGTTACTATCCTGAGGCCAAGATACGATCTTAAATGCTTTAGAAATGTTAAAAATAGAGCTATGATGAATGTCTAGGGAAGCAGGCCCCAGTCTATTCAGCTTTTCCATCAATATCCACTATAGAAGGAAAAAGTTTCAAATCTTTTGAGTTTCTGATAGAGAACTTTATTCCGCTGTTTGGCTCTTTGTCATGTTTAACCATTAGGACAAGGCCCCAAAGATTACACGTGGGGCAAGTCATGTGAAGCATACCCACTTTCCCATCCTGAAATGAATTCTTAGGTAGTGTAAACAGAACGCTTAAATGTAAGGCAGATGTATATTGTATTCTCTCTGAGCATTCTGCAATTCTTTACTTCTCTTCTTTATGTGTATCATTGTAAAAGTGAGTGTTTTCCATCTACAGCCTGTTTTCTTGCTTTAGAACAACGTCTAATAATTTTATCCATTCCTGAACATGCTTTAAAGACCACCATAAAATTCAATACATTTTCTTCTAGACGGCAATGGAAGTAATGCAGTTCAGCAAGGAGGAAGTTCGGGAAATTTTGAGGTTGCTTGCTGGTATACTACATCTTGGCAACATAGAATTTATCACTGCTGGTGGGGCACAGGTTTCCTTCAAAACAGGTAAGATGATGCCTGGCTGTCTGCCAATTCTTCCCTTCCTTGGGGAAAATTAAACCTAATTGGCCTTTGACAGAAAAAATTCTCTGATCCCTAGAATAAAACAGTTATGGTTATTACTGTTGTTGTTTTGTTTTGTTTTAGGAGGTTTTTGTTGGTGCTTGGGATAGAACCCAGGTCTTGCACTTGTTAAAGTACACTTTCTACCACTGAGCTACGTTCACAGCTCAAGAGCTATAGAATTTTAACTGTTATCTGATGTGAGGGATTGCTAGTAAAGAGCCAAAGCATACAAAAAGTTGTTAATGAATTGGGATGGTGTCCGTGATCTTGTTCTTTCCCAAAAATGGAAAATGAGCCAAATGAGTAGGGATATGAGCAATGAAGGCTTGATACAGGAAAGGATGGTAAGTCATGTGCTGTCGTGCTTTACCATGGTTTTCACCAGTACGGTGTAGTGAAACAGTTAAGACTATCAGTTTTCTGGGGTATGACTCAGTGGTAGGGGGTTTTCCTAGCCTGTAGAAGGCCCTAGGTTCAATCCTCTACAGTGAAGAAATCAAAAAACTACTAGTTTTCCAAACCTGAATGCTGGGTTCATAACTCAGCTCTGCCACAAGCTGTTTCCTGTTATTTTTCCCCTCAGCTCTAGTGACTTCACTTCTGTAGATTCCTTCAAGGTCTGTTGTCAACATAAAATGAGTTCAGTCACATATTTGCATCAATTGTCATCTTCCTGGAGTGGTTTGTTTAATATGTAATTTATACATTTTGAAAATTTTTCTGATAGAAGCATAGATGTAGTCACGAGGTTGGAAATTGGATGACTTCAGAGTCAAAATGGTGGTAGATAGATCAGTCTATAGGTCAGTAGTTCTCAAATGTTTGATACCACCCAGTTCCTCTCAACATTTTAGAAAATCATAGGACCCTAAAGAGCTTTTGCCTATGTGGGTTATATCTGTGTATGTGTACTGCATTAGAAATTAAAACTGAGGGATTTAGGGGGGATTTTTTGGGAGGAAGGGGAGGGACAGGACTAGTGTTTGAACTCGGAGCCTCACACTTGCTATGCAGGTACTGTACCACTTGAGCCACTCTTGTCAGCCCCTGATTTAAAATATTTTTAAGTCACTTAAAGCTAATGGTAATAAACCCATGACCTATAAAAATAAATACATTTTTATTTAAAAGGCTGTTTTCTCAAACAGAAGAAGTTGGTGAGAAGAGTTGCTTTGTGATACTGTTTTGTAAATTTCTTTAATGTCTAACAAAATAAAGGAGAGCTAGAGTCTCATGTCTGCTTCTGCATTCAGTTTGAGATGCCTCATATCCTGTGAACTTTTAAAAACTCTTCTCTATGCTGGTGAGAAAATGAGAGTGAAAAGCAAATAACATCTTAATTTTCCCTATGAAAATGGTCACCAGCCTCTTCAGGAATTTGATGATGGCCAGCCAGCACTTTGCCCAAGCACTGGGATCTGTTAGTTCTGCCTGAGGGATTAGAGAATGAATCCTGCTTTATGATGCTGTGTGTAGTCAGATTTGAACCCATTTGAGGTCCAGTGGCTGGTTTGTTTGGGGGGCTATGGGTCGCCACCTGTGTCTTATTTTTTGCTTTCAGCTTTGGGCAGGTCTGCAGAGTTACTTGGGCTAGACCCAGCACAGCTCACGGATGCTCTGACCCAAAGATCAATGTTCCTCAGGGGAGAAGAGATCCTCACGCCTCTCAGCGTTCAGCAGGTATACTCGCTCTGCCATCAAAACTTGTCTTAATTGTCACTCCTGGGATTTCAGATCCAAGGCTTTGATTTGCATAAGTAACTCCAGTGAACCATTTAAATGACTTTGGCTCTTAGTCAAAATGTAGAAGACATCCAAGTTTTGAAAATAGACTAAGCTTATGAATTGTTTCCTAAGAGACAGTGTAAGGGTATTTATAAGTAGATTGTGTCTAAGGCAGATCACCTGAGTTTGAGTCTTGATCCTCCCACTTACTACTGTCTGTTCTTGGGAAATTTGTGCCTACCTTCCCTCTTCTGTAAGTCAAGGATAATTATCAAACCCAAGTCACAGAATTCTTACAGAGATAAAAATAACAAATATATGCTAAGTATTTAATGTCTATTTCTGAGTAAGTCCTAAATAAATGTTAGCCATAATAATTTGTTGTTATTACTACACATGAAGACAGTACAATAGAATGTTACTCATTTTTGCCATTGCTACTGCCTTGAGCCAATTTATATATATGCTAGCCCTACTAATATGCTTCTTACTAGATAAATAAAAATGTTAACTGGAAGAAAAATGTTTCTCTGTTCAAAGTAGGAAATGAGAAGATGATTCCTTAAAAACTGAGGTTTTTATGTCTTAGGCCTGTTATAATTTGTTCTGAGATACCTAGATTCAGATTCTTCTACCTAACCAGACATATAGAGTTGAGTTTGGAAACCTGTTATTGACAGGAGTTGGTGAGTCTTACTATCAAGTTAAGTGAGTTTATCCTTTTTTTAGATATCTGTATTTTCCTCAATGTTAGGTCCCTCCCCATTGTAGTGTATGTGTGCAACAAGTGGGACTTGCCTGCCGGGGTTGCCCAAGGTCTCCTTTCTCACAGGCAATGGATAGCAGAGACTCCTTGGCCATGGCACTTTATGCACGCTGCTTTGAGTGGGTGATCAAGAAGATCAACAGCAGGATCAAGGGCAAAGATGATTTCAAATCTATTGGCATCCTTGACATCTTTGGATTTGAAAACTTTGAGGTAGGCTTCCAAAGAGTGGGATGTGTGAATTCTTGTCTGATTTTCAGCCCAGTTAAACAAATCTCTCGAAATAGGCCTTGATATTTTTCTCTGGAGATACTTTCTTTCATCTTTTTGTTTTGCTTTTGTGTGTAGTAGTGGAAGGCACTAAAGGTATTTATTGCATGTGGTCCCCTCTTAGGTTAACCACTTTGAGCAGTTCAATATCAACTATGCAAATGAGAAACTTCAGGAATACTTCAATAAGCATATTTTTTCTTTAGAACAACTAGAATATAGCAGGTAAGCACTCGAAGGATCCCATGTCAAAGTCTGTTTTTAATCAGCTGATTTAGTTTAAAACTACACTTGGATTTCACTTGGCCCTTTGATCCTTTCTGCAGAGAAGGACTCGTGTGGGAAAACATTGACTGGATAGACAATGGAGAATGTCTAGACTTGATCGAGAAGGTAATGGATTGCTGAATGGTTACAGGCCCAGGGGTGTCCAGCCGGGCTGATTCCTATTTATGGGAACCAAATAGCTTGCGCAAACATGCACATCAAAGACGTGAATGTTTAGAACACAATGGGCCATTTGGAAGCACAAATGTAAATGTTCATGGTTGAATTTAAATACTTGGCTGCTTCAAACCTATTGTCTCACTGAAGACAATATTTTAGAATCAACAGGGTGTGAATTGGCTTTACTTAGATTTTAAGTCAGCAGCAAAGCTTTGTCAGCCTCGCCAATAGAAGATCTGCCACTTGAGAAAGTTATGTCCATAAAATTGCAGTGGATTCCATATTGAAAGAGATTTATCGAGTTTAAATCTATTGTTTTTTTTATGGCGTATCATTCTGAATTTTTCAATCCAAAAATTACCATGCTTTTTCTTTTAACTACTGACTCCATAGAGAATGGAGAGGAATGGAGCTCTGAAAGTAGTTTGAAAGATAAGACATTCAACACTTAATTCATTCAGACTTTTTCTCTGTCCTATAGAAGCTTGGCCTCCTTGCTCTTATCAATGAAGAAAGCCATTTTCCCCAAGCCACAGACAACACCTTGCTGGAGAAGTTACACAACCAACACGCGGTACGTCCAAACCTGCCAATTCTTACTTAGGTCTAAGCAGTGCATCTGTAGACAAGCTGTTCAGTGCTATTAGCCCAAGTGTGTCTCCTGTTTCTAATGTTGTTTTTCAAATCGAAGCCCTTCTCCCCTTACTAGATCCGCATTAAATAAGGTTAGACTTGGGGACTACTGGGCAGAATATGCCTATTTATTTCATGAATTGAGGACTGGAAAATTCTGAGTTGCTATAATAACAGTTGAGACTCAGATGGTTTTGAGTATATCCTTTGCTGTGTCCTAAAACTCTGAAGATACATGACAAGGATTGCCATTGTTTTTACTGTCTGCGTTTTCTTTAAAAGTCAAAGAAAATTAGTGAGTGAACTAGTGTTTGTATTTCTTATTAGAATAACCACTTTTACGTGAAGCCCAGAGTTGCGGTCAACAATTTTGGAGTGAAACACTATGCTGGAGAGGTAATTCCTTGTTATACTTGCCCATTTGATGTTCAGCGAAAGTAGTAGTTTCAGAAACCAGTCATAAATTTATTGAAATGATTCCTTTTCATGAGTATAGCTTTTAAAGAACTTGCTATGACCTGAAAGTTTTCTGCCGACCAATTCACCTTTTGCTTATATTTTTTAAAACTAGGTACAGTATGATGTCCGAGGCATATTGGAGAAGAACAGAGACACCTTCAGAGATGACCTTCTGAACCTGCTAAGGGAAAGCCGGTATGTTGGTTTCTGTGAAGTAATTAGATAGCAAATTGAAATTTGGTCACATGCATTTCGTTCATGGATGTAGGGCAGATTATCATTATGGAAGTACTTGATTTAAGATTTTTTTCAATATTTCATCAATAAAATGACTCGAGACAATAACAAAAATGGGGTGCTGAAATAGAAATAAGAGTACCTAACCCATGCGTTAGGTACTCTTATTAATCTTGTTATGCAGATGAGAAAACTGAAGCTTGGGCTGGCTATGATCCCTCAAGTGGAAACCAGGAAGCTGTAGGTCTGCTTGGCTCAAGAACCTAAGATCTTAACCAGTCTGACCTGCTTTCTTACTCCTATGTGTTAATTTCAGTCTTAATTTTATAGAATCTGTATGTCCCTTTTCTGGGGAGATGGGAGTGGGGAGGCTGTACTAGGGTTTGAACTCAGGGCCTTAAGCTCTCTAGACAGGTGTTCTACCACTTGAGCCACTCCATGTATGTCTCTTGTTAGTCAAGAAACTAACCAAGTGTTATGTTACTCCAGCCAAAATTATGTTTAATGACTAGTTTTGCTGTTTGTATATAGTAAACCAGGAAGCTTCATATTGTTAGGAGACTTCGTAAAAGAGAAAGGTTTGGAAAAAAGTCCTCTTCTAAAAGCTTTTCATGAGTTGTGGGATCTAGCAAGAACCTATACAGAAATAAACTTTTAATATCTAAGGAAGGAAGTAGCACAGTTGTTAAAAAAGCTGTAATACTTTTTGAGATATAAATACCAGGTGGCCATCCTGTCACTTAGCTAGCAATGAATTGAGGGAAGGGAGCCAGGCTAAAGTATCAGCTTAAAGATCTTTAAGCTTATTTTAACTCTTCTGTGTGAAGATTTACTATTTATAAGATTGTAAGCTATTTTCATTTTCAGGCCTATAAAAAATAAAAGATGCTTTAAAAATACCCCAGCATATATTCTGTCAAAGCAGTTTTAAGTTGTTAGGTTTAAAGTGATACATGTAAATCAGTATCCTGTATTAATTTTAAGTAGAAGCAGTTTGTTGTAATGGAGCAGTCACAGGCCTGGAGACCTGCAGGATGGGGGTTCCTGGAATGCCCGTATGCTGGTGTTAAGGGGTTCTGTGATGGAATGAGGAAATGTTTCAACCCTAGGTTTCCCTTTGCAAATGGAAGGCTTGGCTGCTTGATGGTCCTGTTCTCTTTTATCTTTGACTCTTTCATGGAACCCAGGCTTTTCTCGAAGAGGTCTAAACACAGAGAACGTAAGAGAGTGAGGATTACAAAGCAAGAAGTGTCCCAGGAAAGTGCTAATGTTGCCACCTTGGGTGATGCAGATGTCTGTCTTCCCTCCCTTTCCTGGTGACAGTAAAGCCACCCAACTCTCCCCCACCCCCAGCTTCATAGCCCATAATATCTTCCACGCAAGGAAGATCCAAGGTTATTGGAAAATCTTTACTTTGTTTCTAGTGGCAATGGATTTCATAGAATTTGCCGAGGGGGGCGGGGGGCAGTACAGCATTTGAACTCAAGACCTTTTGAACTGCTAGGTAGGCAGTCTACCATTTGAGCCCCTCCCCCAGCCCTGATTTTATAGAACTTTTTGATAGTACTAACAATAACAACTAACATCAGCTCTTACTGTGTGCTTAGAATCATGCTCTCAGCCTTTTATACACATATTCTCATTTCATTCTTGCCTCCACATTAGAGGACAAATTCTAAATTTACTCCCATTTTTCCAGATGAAAAAATTGAAGCCACCAAATGTGGTAGGGCACACCTGTAGTTCCAGCTATTTATGAGACAGATAGGAGGATATTCGTTGGAGGCTGGATAGGGCAAAATGAAAGACCTAATCTAGAAAATATACTAAAGGGAAAAAGGCTGGGGTATGACTCAAGTGTAAGGCCATGACTTCAATCCCACAAAAGAGAAGAAAAGCAAAAACAAGCCTAGAGGGAGAGAGGTGGAACGTCCTACCCATGGGACACAGCTAGGAAGGGGTGAGGGCAGGTTTTCCTCCCTCCAGAGGAAAAAGTGCCTCTCACTGGCATTTCCCCATCAGTTAACTGGTCAGATCTTTACAATGCTGGAGATCAGAAACCAGATACAATGAGCTCTCTTTATTCGTGAGTTCTGCTTCCCAAGATTCAATCAACCTTGAAAATTTGGGGTAAAAAATTGCATCTGTGCTGGACATTTATAGGCTTTTTTCTTGTCATCATTCCCTAACAATACACTTTGTAACAGCTGTTTACATAGCATATGGAGAAGATTTGAGGGGTGTGGGAGGAGGTGCATAGGTTCTATGCAAACACTACACCATTTTACATAAGGGCCTGAAGCACATTGGATTTCAGTGTGATTGAGAGTCCTGAAGCAATCCCTTGTAGATCTTGAGGGGTGACTGTGGCAAGCTTCTACAGGCAAGGAAGCCAAAGTAGCAGAGGCTCAAGTGGTGCTTAGAAAGCAGTACTTCTCAGTGGCCTGCCACCCTGGTCACTGTCTTCCAGGCCACTTCTCTTTCAGGGTGGCTTGTGCTCTAAAGACTGGCACATTTCTCTAGTGCCTAAAGCTCTCTAGCAATAGTTGGTCTGAACTCTTTGGAAGCTGTTTGAGGTATCCCAGGCCTCAGTGTACTATTTTCCATTATCAGCAGGAATATGCACTATAATTACAGTAATCCAGTACCTAATAATCAGGTGTGTGCACCTCACGATTCTGCTCCTCCTTCACACAGGTTTGACTTCATTTATGACCTCTTTGAACACGTCTCAAGCCGCAACAACCAGGACACGTTGAAATGTGGGAGCAAGCACCGACGACCCACAGTCAGCTCACAATTCAAGGTTAGTTTCCACTCCTGGCTTGCGTTTGTCCATCATTCCTGTGATCCTAGGAACTAAGAAGAGGAGTTGAGAATATTTAACTTTGTTTTTAAAACAGTGCTTTAGAAATAATACAGTTTTGGAGTTGGGGTCATAGCTCAGTGGTAGAGATGTGCTTAGATGTGTAAGGACCTGGGTTCAATCCCCAGCACCCCCAAAAATGTATATAATTTATGTTATGACATATTGTATATTGCACACACATACATATATGCAAACACACATTTTTCCCTAGGCAGATGAAAACATGTAGTGTTTTATTAAATAAAAGATAGTGCCTAGAATCAAAGCTACTCAGAGGCAGAGACAGGAATATTGTGAGTTCAAGGCCACCAGGGGAAAAATTAGGGAGATCTTATCTCAAAAAAAGAAAAAAGGTGGAGGGGGCTGTGGGTGTGTCTCAAGTGGGAGGAGACCCTGGGTTTGATCCCCAAATACACACACACACACACATGCACACACAGCTATTTTAATCTTTCTAAATTACATCTCTTCTTAAGGTTTATTTTGACATACTGGGTTATTATTTATACTTAGAAGCTCATGTGAAAATTGGATGTATTTCTTCCCAAGTCTGGATGTTGGTGTTTCTTCCAGATAGTTTTACCGTATCATAACTAGGAGTAGTGACCAAGTTTATATGTAAATAAGATTGAAGTTACCTTGTACACATGTCCAGAATTCAAGTAAAATAAGGAGCAATCATATTTACATTTAAATATGTGAGCATTTCATATCATTTAGAGGGACAGCATGAAGACCGCTGCCCTCACTTGATTCTGTTTTCCCCTCAAGTGAAAAGTCCTTATGTGGAAGGGATGTGAGTTGCACCAGTCAGCAGCCACTTATTAAGTTGGCCCTCTGTGAGGCCACCTCGTACTCGATTGCAATGCCCAGGATCTGATGTTGAGGTCCCATGTGCACTGCAGCTGGAGGTGGTATGGCTGACGGTGCTGGGTGGTGCAGAATGAAAAGCAGGTTCGACCCAGATAAGATTCAGTAATGACAGGCATCATTTATTAAATATTTATATGTGCCAGTCATTGGCCATCCACTCTGCATACATCTTGAGTACATGTCATTGCCCCCACTTTATAGATAAGGAAACTGAAGTTTAGGGAACTGGAGAGCCATTCAACCCCGTGGAGGACTGAAGCTAAAACCCAGGTTCTTACCCTACCAGTATGATATTTGGTGGGTTTTTTTGTTTGTTTGTTTGTTTTCACCCCCAAGGAGGTTGGTTTTGCCTGGAATGGTCTTAGAAGGTTTTATGGATGTTAGGGCCTTAAATTGGATGAGGACTGTAGGAAATGGAGAAGAGTAGGTGGCTTCCAGGTGAGACAAGGACAGAAAAGTCCAGAGAGGGATTAAGCCTTCCCCCTAGACAGGGGCTAGCAGGACGAGATGTCTTATGAAAATATAAATTGGTTCAGAATATGAAGAACCAAGAATGCCAGGATGTTTTTTTCTTCTGAGAAATCTTCAAGCTTTCTTAGCAGAACAGTCATTAATCAGTGTAGTTTTGCTGTAGACAATCCAATTCTCTTCAACAGCAAAATTGTAAGAAGAAAAAAAAGAAAGTTTCAGGGAGAACCAATAAATTAAAAGAGGTAAAAGATGCGTCATCCGGCTACCATGCTTGAGTCATTTCAATCAGGTGCAGAAGAACAAATCACTTAAAAATTATGAAGGTTGAGACCATAGAGCAAATTTTAAATAAGAAACGTCAGATTGATCTACATTTTAACATTAATTTAAGTGTTAAGTTCATTAACTTAAGGAACTCATGTTAAGTCTTTTTAGGTGTGATGAAACTGGGTTTACATAGTGTCTTAATGTGTTTGGCCTTTAGTAATTCATACTAAAATATCAGCTGATGGAACATGAGGAAGTCTGTCTGGGGTCTGGCATTCTACAAGGGGTAGTCACATGGAGACAGGGACAGATGACATGAGGTTAGCGATGAGCTGCCATTGAGGACTTGTGATACCCTTCTGTCGATCTGGTAAATGTGAAAAATTCTCCATAACAAAGCAGCTTGAGAAACAGAAGCATGCAGTGTTGGTTGATGTAAAGTCTGTAGAGCTGGCGACCTGAAGGTAAGAGTGAAGGATCACAGCTCAGAGACCTGTGACTTACCTGAAATAGTGAGTTTGTGGGAGTCACTACAGTGAAAAAGTAGATATGCTTGGTGTTTCTGGACAAACGGTGAAATATCCCAAGGTTGTTTTTTGTTTGTTGACAGTGTTTATGTTTTTAAATGGTACTGTTTCCAAGGAAGTAATAAATGAATTTTATATATTATGGAATAATTTCAATTTCAAGTGAATTGTAATATCTTTTGCTTTATGTTAGAATGACATGATTAAATATGAGAAACTCTGTTATTCCTATGATTTATATTGTTTTGTTTCTTACTCTTGTTTCCAATAATAAGTGCTAAGAAATTTAAAGAATGACAGAAGAGACTAAATCAACATACACTCTTTTCTGTCTGGTAGGACTCCCTGCATTCCTTAATGGCAACGCTAAGCTCCTCTAATCCTTTCTTTGTTCGCTGTATCAAGCCAAACACACAGAAGGTAAGATTGATGATGGGGACAGACTGAAGTCTCCTCAAGGACAACCTCCTGGGGTGGCTGCTCGCAGATTTGGTTTCTCCAAAGTCCTTTCATTAGAGATGGTTAGAAATGGATATGATGTTATTATAACCAGACATTAAATGAGACATTCCGCTTTGTCCTGTGAGCCTGTTGGTCTGTGTTTGAATGAGCCGTTAGGCTTTAAGGAAATCAATTTGAAAAGGAAACATTGTGAGGCTTTCGTGTTCCTCGTTAGCCTTTACTTTGAAATTTTTGGGTCCAGCTCCCCTGTGTAGTGTACCTACTTTGAAAAAAAATAATTTGGTGTGTTTTTGTTGTGCTTGATTTCTTCTTCCTCTCTTCCTTAACATTGTTGAACATGACTAGATAAGATTACAACCTAAGAAGTGCTGGATTTAAGTACTTCAGTGAAGTTTTAATGTCTAGGACTTCTGATTTTTTTCATAACTCAGTTAAAAACAACTTTAGTTGAAAAACTTTCTTTTTAAGATATGTAGAGAATTAATTATATGTAGTTGCTGAATTCAAAGCTAGATGGATAACTTGCCTTAAAGTGTGGTTATTGAATGAATTTTGATTTGGCAAACAGCCTCACAAAACAGTAGTTTTGAATGCTCTCTTTCTTTCTTTTTTTTAAGCAGTACTGGGGTTTGAACTTGGGGCCTCACACTTGCTAGGCAGGCGCTCTACCACTTGAGCCACTCTGCCAGCCCTTAAAAGGTCTCTTATGTTGCAGCATCAAATGCCATCTTTCTAAGAATTACACTAAATTCTAATCTGAACTTTTTTCTGTGAGATGTGGGTTATTTTCTCTTGCTTTATTTTACTTTTTGCATTGTTTTAATTGTTGCTTTTGACAATATCATGTTAATTCCTCATCTGTAGTTCACAGATATAGGCTCTGGATATTGCTACAGTAAACCTGTTCATTTTGTTACCTTATGAGGCGTGAAGGCGAGAGGTTGGTATTTTATGACATAAAGCGGCCAGACTGGTTTTATATAGAAGATTTATAATGACTTACTGTATAACATTCTGGTAATTAAAAAAGTTTGTGAAAGGTGCTCACACTGCTTTCTTTAGCCTTCACCATGGCTTTTCATTTGGTATTTGGGGGCGGATGGCCGGACCTGACATATGGAATCTCAGGAGTTTGGGCATTGGGTTCAAAACTCTGGTTTCAAGTTTAGCTCATCATTCTGTTTTCCAAACTTCTATGAAAAAGTTTTAGATTATCTCAGAAAATGGCAACATAAATGATACATGGTGTAGGGTTTTTTTCTGACACAATGTGGGAAATTAATGGCTAGGACATCCCTCTCCATTTAGAACAAGATGTCATGGAAGCTGACTCACATTCTAGAACGACACATTCTAGAACGACCACGGGCAGGACAACACTGGGCTCTCTAAGACAGTGTGAATGGGCTTTGTGTTTTCAGTGGTCTCATAGTGGCTTGATATCTACCACAGCTCCTTTTACAGTACTGATCCAATGTGGTATCGCTTTCTTCCAACCAATAAGCTTTTTTCCATTTAAAGTCTTGTTGCTGGGACTCACCGTACAGTTCCTAGCAAGAAGAAAAGTTTCTTTTCTTGCTTCGTGCTATGACACAGCCATGCAGTTTTATAGTCACTGACATCTTAGAGTCAGCCAAACAGGAGCACGACCTGGCAGTAACACTCCAAGGATACGAGGTTCAGCTTGGAAAACTCCATCCTCAGTATTTTTGTTTTTGTTCTTGGATGGCATGGAGTTAGATTTTCCTTCAGATTGGAAAAGCTTTTGAAATTAGGCCTGCTTGAAAACACTTCAGCAGCCAGAATATTGAAGAAATGACCTCTTTTTAATGTTTCTTTTTCCATGCTGAGATTTGATTGTACACAATTACTTTGGATTTTGCACTTTAAAAAGTCAGCCAACTCAACTTCACGTTTCCATTTGTATTGGCTCCTGGCCCTTTGCATCTCCTGACTTACTGCAGACACTAATTAATAACACACCAAGAGATGGGTTGTACAAAAAATATCTCGGTGTCATTTTAAAGGCACCCAGAATGTGACAGCCCTGATACAAGAGCTGATTTGTCTGAGGCCTAAACCATAGGGGTGATTTGTAAGTGTCAAGATGTTAATAAGAATATGGAAATCCCAAATTGTAATTCAATCATCATTTGGTTACATTAAAAGTGTTGGACTGTTACTGTACTGTGGAGTTTCTTACAAATTTCTTTAGTCCAATGATAGAATCTTCCAGAAATTTTCTCAGGGAAAATCTTGCCTTCCCTGCAGGGATGGGGAATGTGTGTTCCTAGCTTGGAGGGAGGAGACATCTCTCCTTATATCTTTTTCAGTCATTCATCATGAAAATCTGGGAGATTATATTCAGATACATGTGAATGTAGGTGTTTTGTGTATCATTCAAGAATGAGAATTGTGGGTTTAGCTGATTCTAGAGGGTTTTTTTCCCTGCTCTGTGACCCAAAAGAGGTAAGAATAATAGCTGTGAAGTCTGTGGCCTAGGCGCTATGGAATTAGAAAAGTTGGAGGTAGCTGCTCCTGTACTTTTTGGAGCATGGGCAAGATTCACACGCTGACCCACTGAATGGGACCAAGCAACCCATGGCTTGTAGAACAGGCCATCTCTCTTTAGCAAAATGTTTGAACCCCAGAATGGGCATTGGAGCCTAAAATATCTGGGAAGCCTGTGGCTTTGGTGTTTGGATTACTTGGGGTTTTTTTTACTGTTGTTATTGCTATTTAAGGGCTTTTTTGTGTTTTGTTTGAAAAGCAGGTAGATAGAGGGAGGCTGTAACTAAAATGCTGGAACATCCTTGTCACTTCAATTCTAACAGCATGTGCCCTGTTTCCTTTTTTATAAATAGCCTTTCACAAATCTTGAGAATAATATCAAAGGCACCTCGTTAGTAGCCTTGTTGGGAAATCCTCCTGGTGCCAGGTTATGAAGTAGATTAAAAAACACACTTCTTGACAGGAGGGCGTCTGTAGCTGTTGCTTGGCTTTGGATAGCTCTGAGGTTGTTAATTCACTGAGCCTAGAATCTTAGGAGTTCACAAAGGGAAACTTCTCTGTATGGTTTCTAGTTGGTGATGTGGACTTTCAGCTTTCTTCTCTTGTCATTTGCTTGGGCAGTAGCACTTGCTGGCCCAAAAGTGCCCCCAGGGAACCACAGGACACTTCTGGATCAGGGCAGACTTGCTTGGCCTCATCAGAATCTCTCCCCAAGGGCGTGCTTGGCCTGTGAACTCTTCCTGCCTGGTATTTTAGCAAATGAGTTCTAGCCAGAAAAGTCTCTTATTAACATTCCTCAGAAAACCCTGAGGAGGTTCTGGACAGAATTACAGGAGAGAGCACACTGATAAGTATCAGGGAAATCTCCCGTGTGAGAACTGGCTGCTGCAGATCCAGGCACCAAATCTGAGGCTGGGCTGCTTCCTACAGAATTGGTCAGAATAACTTGATTTCCATGAATCTAGCACATTTCATCCTGGAGAATTGTTTGTATAACCTGGATGTAGCCTGCCACTTTTTTCTCCCTAGTTTGTTTTGTTTTTTGCTTTTTAAACAAAGACCAAACATTTCTTTTAAAAGGCATGATGATGATGGTGGTACATTTCCTCCTTTGAATTTTTAGTTCCATTTGGTTCTTTCTGCATCTTTTTCTGTATCCTCTCAGGCATCTCATTTCTCATTAGTTTTTGTTTGTTTGTTTTTTCTGCAATGCTTTATGTTGCTTTTAGGCCTTGGTCTCTACCCTAATTCTATATTGTACATAAAGTATTCTGTACTCACAGAAGCCCTGCCTGAGTCCTCTCTGCAGAACCGACCCATTCTTTACCTCCTGCCTGGTCATTAGGGTACCGCGGCTGTGTGTGCTCAGGAAATATTACCGTGCCCACAAGGTACATTGTGGGGTGCTTGTGGTGTATGAGCACTGAGCTTTGCCAAAGCTAAACACCTGTCTTTAATCCTTACTGCTGCAAGTTCTATTCAAGTTACTTTCTTTATCTTTGTCCTGTTTTCCGCCTGTGATTGTTTTTGATTTGTGTAGTTGGAAGTCACCCAAGGTATAAACCAATAGGTCAGGATTGGATTGACATTCTTAATATGTACTAATCTTGATATACTAACACATTACTTTACCCCATTTACCTCTCTCACCTGACCCCTCCTTAGATATTGTAGGGGTCAATGCTCTTTTGGGACAGCCAAGCACAACACCCTGGATGCGTTCACAAATACTTCATCTGAGGGTTGTGCTTCAACCAGGAATACTGGGTAAGCGTTTCCCACAGGGGCTTTGTTTTCTGCATGCAAGGAAGTGTGGGTGTGTGTGGATCTGGCCCCTAATCATCATTTAAACTGAAATACTAAACATTGGAGTTTAACATTTTGATTGAACCTTCTAGAATTACAGGTGAGTCCAAACCTTATCTGTTGATGTCCTTGACTGAATCTCGGACTCTGCTTGTGTAAAAATGCACCATTATTTGTCTTATCACTGCAGAAACAAAATCACCATCTACTCCATGAGGGCGGAATGCTTTCTTATCACCACCCCCTCTTTGTTACTTCACAAATTGTCGCTCTGTTTTCAGGCCTTTGTGCAAATACAGTAATTTCATTTCAAGAATGAATCTGTAGTGTAATGTTTTGATTTTTACAGTACATAGACTCAAACCCAGGGCCTCCTGCATGCTAGGCTGACGCTCTGTCAGTAAGCCGCACCCCTAGCTCTGCAGTATAATGTTTTGATTGAATGGAAAGGACAGTAGTAATTCCATAATTTGTGGTGCTTGTAGGAAGAGCTGTGATGAACGTCACTGTCACCCAGGCATTGTGATGCGTGATATTGGCTGCTCAGACTTGGAGGACCTTGAGTCTGAGACATCTGATTTCAGATATGTCCAGATGGGAATATATTTACATTAAGAAATAATGAAACATGATCTAGTTGT